TTTTTTTTGAAAAGCAAAAAGAAATTTATTAAGTGAGTACAAGGGGTACTCAAACCCATTGACATCAATAAACAAATTACATCCAGGAAGTGGGTCAAACAACAAGATCCCCTGGTATACCCAAAACAGGAAACCTGGAGCTCAACACCCCATCTACTCAACACCCTAATTGGTTTTAAGTTGAATACAAGTCTTGTGTTAAACCCATATGCACAATTTTCACACATACTTCCACCATTTGTATTTCAATCACAAAGCTTTCTTCTTTGAGGTTCTAAGCATCCCATTTTCCAAATGCTGAACCAAGAGTCAGCAGTACCACTATGAAACATTTAAAACCCCCAATCCAAAATAATAACAGGTAGAAGAAGCTACTAGTCGGTAAAATTAATCCAAATTTCCCTAACAACCTGCGCCAATGACCAATATTATAATTGTCCATACCTCTGAATATAAGAAAATCCACAACAGAACTGAAACAGGATAAGTATATATATCAGGTTTTAAATCTAAAGCCCATCCTGAGCCAAGATTTCATATAGCTAATGCTTCCCAACTTCTAAATGATTTATATTTTCCACTAACGTTTTGTGAACAATGGTAATTGTTGGAACAAATTGCTTGAGATTTTGGTTAACCCACTTCAAGATTAAAAAATGAATAGAATAAAAAAAATACACCACCACAAAAAAGACAAAATTTATGTGATTCAACTCTAATTTAATTGAGTCCACATCCATAGACACTCACAAAAAAAAATTCACTATTAAAATAGAAAAATACAATTTATGATACTTTCAAAAAAAATCCAATTGTCAAGTACATCCAAATCTCACTTATAATATTTTTAAATATGAGACATACTAAAAAAACACACTCAACAAAGTAATTTTAACCACTCTACTCTTGCTCACCCTCACCCAAAGCACTCACAAAACTCTTGTATTTTCTAGAGTTCACTTTGCTTTGGATTGCTCTCTTGGTTGCTTTGCCCAATGGCCAAATGGCTTTTATAGCCAAAAATCCACCGCCCAAAATGAATGAAATGGGCTGCAAGGTCAAAATCCAACCATGCAGAATAAATGCAATGGCTTTCAAAGTCTTAACCTTTAATTTCATGGATACATGCAGAAGCAAAATCTATTTTTGTCAAGATTTTCGGCTGCACCATCTTGCCAAATAACCATCACTTTCAACCCTGCACTTTACATGCATTTTCAACACCTTTTTTACTGCCACAAGATTTCTCATGCAATCAAATTTCAAAGGCTGAGAATTTGCATGCTTTTCCAACCACCGTAAAGAACCCACATGCAGCAACAGTAATACTAAAAAAATTTGGAAAAGGTTTCTAAGGGAAACTTTTTTTTTTTTTTTAATCCTCATTAACATAATTAAGCTGGTTCAAGTATCAAACTAAGTGACCCTTCAAAGAAACTTGAGAAAAAGTTTCTTACAAGAGTTTGTTTGGTTTTTTTTTCCCCTCTTTTGTAGAAGTACACAAGGTTCATAGGTAGTTGTTATTTTAACTTGCTTTACTTAAAGTTTCAAGCATGACATGACTATGTTTTTCACTGTCTTGACTTCGGGGCCAACTATTAGGGCACAAATTAATGTTTGAAGTTTCCTCATGGCATTAAATTGTCTGTGTTAATTAATAGCTTCTGCTTAACATTTTCTTATAAGTTTATAAATCCGTGTTTGGTTGATTGATATTTGCAAATTTAGGAAACCGAAGAACTGATTGATACGTTTCATTGGAGTTATACTCTGTTGCTATTTCCCAACTTAGTTAATCTTTTTTTTTTTTTTGGAAGAATTTTTATTAATATTGAAA